AAAGTAACTTGTAACGGTAACGACGTTACAAGTAACACGTTACTTGCCAACCCTGACAATAGGTGTCTTTGTTTATCCTGTATATTAAACAAAGACCCCTATCGTATAGGTCGCGGACTAAGTGCACGGTGTAAACGTAGCCATCGTTGTAAATATCGATTACGTAACTTTCTTTTGGGCGAAATAAAAAACCGAAAAGTGGTGTTTGTCGCTTGCGTTTTGTCAAAAAATTACGTAATCGCGAAACTTTCTTCTCTCGACGAGATGCAAAGAAATTTGTCGCACTAATTGCACGATCCAGTTTGAAAAGAGCTAACAGGTCAAATGTAAAAAAGTAGAACGCAGCGATTGACAAGTTCGACCTCGATGTCGATATCGCACGTGCGACTGATAGACATCGATTGCGAGAGTCTTTCTTCACCTTATCGGCCGGTTCCATCGTCGTCGCCGACATTCATGATGTGACATGACAGTCGGTTTGTGCGCGACATTATGAAGATGTCCCCGACGTACAACGAAACGACGATGACGACGACGATGACGACAACGATGACGACGACGGCGTCGAGGCATTTACGAATATTTCTACCCTCGTCCATGCATGTACACGCGTGCATGGACGTGATGCGGAATTGCGCGTGTATGCGTGCACACTGACGTTACACGCATTGTCTGATGGCACCGATATATATCTTCGCTGTCAGCCGATCGTTAAGGGAACAATCAGATTCGGACATATCAGTCAGGCTAGTCCTCTCCTCGTCTTCCTTCCCCTACTTGTCTTCTTCTCTTTCGTTATCTCCTTTGCCGCTTGCATAGGAATGTGCTAAGATGATCGATATTTATCGTCATTCTTTGGTATCAACAGTATCATTCAATGAGCGACATTTCTTGTATTTTACTATGGAAAAACATCTATATAAGACAACGAATTATTGGTAAAAAAAATTGTACGGTCTGTACGAGATGATGAAATCTATTCTTCATCACTAAATGACTAAATCTTTTCAGTTCGCTTTCGTTGAATTAAATATACCTATCGCTTGTTTGTTGCAACGACATAACTCAAAAATTGTAGTTTTAATTGCTTGCTCAAATAGAATGTGAAAACACAAATAAAAAAGGAAAATACTTATAAAATATATACTTTTATTTCTCTACAATCAATTATTACACCAAAATTGCATTTTAAAATTCATATTACAAAATTTTTTTATTCAAACTATTCATTTTCTGGAAAACTTTGTTTTTTTTAATTATGTCGTTATTGTAACAAATAAGCCATGTCTATTTTAAGCATAAGTATACACTGTACACTAGTCCAACCATAAAAACAGACCTTCTTCTCATCCTCTCTCACCTTCTTCTTCCGCCCCACAACTCCCAAAAAAATATATAAAATTTATTATAACCATACATATATATAATTTATTATAACTGTCGCGATATCGATGTGATGCATGCAAAGCGACACAAAGAGAACAGAAGAAATTCGAAAGGTCAACGATTAACTTCCAAGTCACAAATCTCGTAGATCGGTAAAACTTTCAGTTACACCCAATATGTCTCAATGATTCTGGGATTTGAGGATTTCAATGATTTTCCGATACGATATCTGACGCGATTTCTCTGCATACGTACAGAGGATATATACGAGCACTTAAACATTCCCCAGATGATCTCTCGGACAGCTGCTCTCTCTTTTATTACGTGACAATATTGCGAAGACTTTTTGCGGGCAATAATGCGCCTTAAGATCCATGCCAGATGTCACCGGCGTGGATAGCGGGTCATATACGAGACCGAAATCTCAAATATTAGCGCGAAATCGTAGATGGGAGAGCGCACATCTTACGCGGCAATATCGCGTCGCTGATCGCCTGATATCATTTCTTCTTACGCTCGCTCTTTCATCTCGCGGATATTTGGCGACATGTGCGCGAAACGGCTTATAAAACTTCTCGTGAACGTCGCGGCGAGGGATCGTTTCAGACGCGTTTTTTTCTGCGATCGCAGATTTTCCTTCTAAATGCTATAATACATTTAATGCGATATTTATAGGATGTATTCTGATTAGAGATATCTGTGATTTTCAAATTTCAAAAGATATTTAAAGTAACCGAGAACAAATCAATTAAGTAACTTAAACCAAAACTGAACAAAGCTTATTAAGCAAAAAGCACATACTCTCACGTACGGTTATATGATTCGGAAAATTTAATATTTTTTAAATTTTGGAATAAAAAAAAATCTTAAGCAACCTTTAGACTTAGACGCTCAATTATTACACAATTATTTTGTACGATATTAGTGATGCACCTTTTAAACAATTGAAAGAGAATAATTTGAAGGCTTAACATAAACAATCAATAATAATATTGTGCAATATCAAATACTCCAATCCAATATATTAGGT